TTCTTGGTACCTTTCAACGCTGATCCGATTTCCTTTTCGGAAAATTCCCCTGATCCTTGATTTTGTATGGCTGGGGATTTCTACCTCTGGAATGCGAGCATCTCGACGATATAATGTTCTATAGTACTCTTCGATAATTTTCATAATTTCTTGTTGTTCATATACAGCATGTGTATTTTTTAGCTTATAAATGTTCCTGGTTACTGTCTTCAACTTTCGTTTTAGAACTTTAAAGCTTTTATTTTGTTCTATGATATTAGTTGTTTTTTTAATGTTAAAATCCCTTATGTTTTTCCTAACAGCTTTTGAAATAGTTTTATTTAAATTCCTTAGCTCTGCGATGTTCACTGTGCGCTTATCTTTCACTTCCCTTCTCTTTTGCATTAGGTTCGTTGTGCCTTCTGTAAGTTTTTCATTTTTGCTTGTTTCCTTAACTTGACAGTTCTTCTGTGCCTTCCTTAGAGCTTCCACCAACCTTTTGTTAAGTTGTTCAATATTAGTTTCATCTTGCACGTCAGGCTGAATGTTTCTATCTATTTCTTCCTGGTATGCCCTTGTGTTAGTAATCACAGTGAACGTAACATTTTTAGTCCTTGTTACCATATTTCTTCGTTCCTTCTTTCCGATCAAGACTACCTTCGCTCTAACCATTCTATGGCCACTTCCGGTTAATTAAAATTAATTTAATACGGTTACGTCTTGAACAGCGTCTTTTTAGTTAGTAAAGATAAAGTAAAGTTCGTTCTTGTTTAATCCATTTGGTGATTGCCAAGTCCACTTTCTTTGGGGGCTTTTTTAGGGTCGTTTTCACTTTAAAATAAAATGAACTTTCGATTATGAAGCTTTCTATCTTTGAATATAAGAAAATTAAAAAAACATTAGCAAGTATATTAGTTAAAGATGAAGTATACCACTAGTGCTAAGTGTAAAATACGTTTACATTTATCTAATGATGCCAAAAGAAATTAATAGGAGTGTTAATCAAACAGTAAAAGAAGATATTATAAATTCAGAAGATGATAAATTTCTCACCAAAGCAACATCTCGATTGATAAGGATGGATCGTGGACTTGAATGGATGAAGAGTGGACGATAAAGATCTACAAATAATTACAAATCTATACTGGCATCAAGTGGCAAGAATAAAGGTTGAACAAGAACTGTCGAATGAAATAAATATAAGAAGATGAGTGAGACAAGGCTGTACATTGTCGCCTTTACATTTTAACTTAAACTAATGGAGACAACCGAAGGTATTATTGTGAATGGAGTAACCGTCAACTATATTAGATATGCCGACGATACCTTAGTCCTTGCCAATTACGGAGAAGACCTTCAAAATCTAATAAACAAAATAGAACAGACTTGTGTATCTCAGGGAAAGATCCAAGGGAATCGTGGTCCTGGTAGACGAAGAACATCACGGCTAAAAAATCTAAGGCAATGGTATGGAAAATCAACTACATCTTTATTTAGAGCTGCTGTCAATAAAGTCACGATAGCGAATATGGCAGCCAACATGATATCCAACGATCGATAACGGTCATGGAACTCGAAGAAGAAGAAAAAGCGGAGTGACTTTTTTACTTATAAAGCAGTAAATGAAAAAGACGCTGAGGTAATGAGAAGAGAGTTTATAATTTCTATTTAAACGACCTAGTTCCAACGCTTAGTATGATCTTGGATAAACTTGCTAATGACCATTATATTACGTATTTGCCTTTAACTTTATCAAGGTTTTTGAATCAAATTGGTTTTCGATACAAGAAAATTAATAAGCCATCATCAATAATGGATTCAAATTGAAATATTAACTGCAGAAACGAATACTTGGATGCTTATCTAAATTTAGTGATGAAGAAGAACCGATATTTTATCTGAATAAAACATGGTTCGATACCCACGATACTGCTTAAAAACGTTGAAAAGACGTCTCTATTTAAGTGTGCACCCAATTATCCAAATAATAGAGGTCAGCGAATAATTATTGTAAACTTTGGATCCAAAAATGGCTGGCTTGGAGAAAAAAGTTTTTTACTATCGGCAAAAAACATTAAAGATTAAAAGCTGCATTACCATGAAAATGTGACGAGTAACTTGTTTAAGGAATGGTTTGAAAAGAAAGTGTTGCCAAATTTGCCTTTAATAAGTGCCATTGTAATGGATAAGGCGACGTATCACAGCGAACAAATTAGAAAAATCCCCAGTGTAGGCTCGACGAAAAACCAAATTTCGGATTTTTTGTATGAATTTGATTTGTATTTTGAAGAAACATAAAAAAAGAAATGTTGGAAGTTCTTCACACAAAAGTATTTAAGAAAAAGTTTTTTATAGACTAATTATCCAAACATGATGGTCATATTCTATTGCGAGTATCTCCTTATTACTGTGTTTTCAACCCTATTGAATTATTCTGGAGCCATCTTAAGTGAAGTTTACGGCGAAACAACTGCTTTGTCAAATATAGGAGCCAATCGGTATCATATGTTGTAGAAGATATAAAAATGATTTCCCCAGCACTGTGGCAAAATTGTGCTTCACATGTTATAAAATGGAAGATTATTAGAGAACAATACCCTCACATTTTAAACCAATAATTATAACATTAGATGATGACGATTCTACTGAAGATGACAGCGATAGTGACATAGAGTTGTAATTTGTAATTTTTTTTTTTCATCTAAACTTCAAATTTTATTTTTTTTAATTTATTGCTTCTAATTTTATTATCTTATCTTTTATAATTCTGATTTTCGCTACATTTTTAATCTTTTACTGTTGTTAACATGATTTTCCTTAATTTCCTTAATTTGTTCATTTCCCTTATTTCATGGTAAATAATAACATACCTATAACTACATAGATATAGATACGTATTAAATATATGATATGATATTTAATTTTATTTTTATTATTCCAACCCTATTAAAATATTATATATGTACTTAAACTTTTTTGTTAAATTTAGCGAATCCGCTCCTGGAGAGTCTGTTGGTTGTTATTATAATACTAAATTGTTAGGGTGATATCTCCACCATCAGGCAAAATTTCTTATATCTTGACGGAAACTATAATATATATATATATATATATATATATATATATATATATATATATATATATATATATATATATATATATAATATATATATGTCTTTGGCATTGTCATGGTTATAACCGCCAAAGAAGCTCCGTACTATGTTTTCTGTATTTTTAAAATTTAAAAAATATTAGTCGAATAAATCGAATACAATAATTTGAAAATTTATTTTTTAATCGAATACAATAATTTGAATAATAATTTATTGTTTATGTTTTTAATCAATTATATTATATTAAATATTTCAATAAATTAATATTTCTGCTCTGATTCAGAACTGACAGGTATTGGAGAACATATCTATGTCTGACCATTGCTGGCTAACTTTTACTGTTAGTCTGGAGAAAAGCCTTATTAAATCTCGCGACTCTAAGAAGACGGATGTAGAACTCTACAATAGACTCTTAGAAGATGCTCTATGGAATAAAAAGGCTTTAGTTCCAGAAACTAATATAAAATTGGAAAGAAGTCAAGGAACCAATAATTCTTTCAAAAATTTTTATATTAACAGATATTTGATTTAGAAATACGTGTATTTAATTTGTATTGGTCATTAAGGGATGTGTGGGGATGTTTGTGATGGGTACGGGATGTTTCCCGTATTCAAACAGTTTTTATATTGGTGGAGCTACATAGACGACATACTGGTATGTTTCACAGAAACTAACAGGCAACTCGACCAATTTTTATCGTATATTAATTCACTTCATAGTCTTATGTATTTTACAATAGAAACAGAACAAAATCAATCCATAAATTTTTTAGATTTAAAAATTAGCAGACTTCAAAACAAACATGACTTCTCCATATTTCATAAACCTACCCATACTGACACGACTATACACAATTCATCATCCCATCCAACACAACATAAACTGGCAGCTTATCATAGTATGTTACATAGATTAACAGAAATTCCGATGTCAAAATACAACTTTGAGACAGAATTAAATATAATTAAGCAAATAGCAGTAAACAACGGAGAGAACGAACAAAGAATTAATAAAATGTTATATCAAAAACTACACAAGGAAGCCCTGAAATTAGTATTTCCACCACCAAAGAAAAAACCCAGCACCTTCTGCTCGATTCCATATACAGGCAAAATAACAACAAAAATTGCCAAACACATAAAAAAGAAAGGAATAACACCAGCTTTCCCAGCAAACAACAACCTAGGCAAATATATTAAAAATAACAAGAGCAAAAATAAAAAACACTTAAATAGTGGTGTGTACAAACTTCAATGTGGCGACTGCCCAAAAACTTACATCGGTCAAACTGGTAGAAACTTTGATAAACGAATAGCAGAACATAAAAGGGCTTTCAAGAATAGAAAAACAGATTCGACATACGCACTTCACCTTCTAGATCATAACCATTCTTTTAATGACAAATTTAAAATTCTTCACATTCAAAATAAAGGCCTTAAGCTATCTTTGTTAGAATCTATGAAAATCAACAAATTAAAAAACACAGATATAAATCTGAATGACCAACTTGAGACAAACAGTTCTCCCCTTCTCAACCTATTTCATTAGAGACCATAAATTTGTAAACCCAAGCCAAAAATGGATCACTTGAGAGAGGCAATCAGCCGAAACAGCTGTAGTGATAAGATTTAAAATAAATTTTGTGGAAGTTTGAAAACAAAGTTTTCAATGTTTTATTGTTACATAAAATGAATTTCCATCAAGTAACGGTCGAATCCATCAATTATATTCTTTGCTTTTGATTTGTTTGATAAAGATAAATTTATTACAATTTAAGACTATATAAGGAGATTTACAATTATAATCAAATCACAACAATATATATATATATATATATATATATATATATATATATATAATATATATATATATATATATATATATCGATTTTTTTCGATAATTCTTACCCAATTGAAGGCTCTACAAATGCCTTTGGCTGTATTCGTAAAATATCTTTCGTGTTGTCACATAAAATTCTTGCCACATTGGCTTTCCTTATTTGCCGTAGTTGTGCTGGAGTAAATCCAGCAGACTTGTTTTCATACCAGAAACGGTCCGCTTGTCTGATAGCTTTGAACTGTCTATATATTACACAAAGAGCAGTTGGTCCCGCTAGTGTTCCCTTCACGTTAGTTTCAGCTGCCAGGCCTACGATGTATTCAACGTCATCAACATTTTTATAAAACAGTTGTAGTTCTTGAAGTCTCTAAAATATAAAAAAAAAACCATTTTTAAAATCATAAAAATTATATTTTTATGTATAATATATCGCATAACTTGGATCCATATAAAACTTTTAATAAAATAAAAAAAAATTATTTAAAATCCTTTATAAAAGGCATATAATAAAATACCCAAAACGGCTATATCGTTTCGGAAGGTATAAACGTTATAAACGTTATATTCCATCATCAGTGGAACTAACTAAGTGTACAGTTGCGGTCACGGAATAGTTTACAGGTTCACGTATCTAGGAGCCCATTTTTTAAATTTTTACTTCGTTTAAACGCACCTTTTACGTCAAAGTGACGTTGCCAGTGGTGTACTAGCTAGAATAGGTAGATTAAAATTAAAATATCAAAATATTTTACAAAATGAAAAATATAGAAAACAGTTTTTTGAATAAAATGGATTATGATCTTAATAACGAAAATAAAGAAGTCTTTTTTTTTAATATGCATTTTATTTTATTTCTATTTTATATTAAATAACGATAAACAATGATAAATAATAATTAATATTTGGTGGAAGCCCCATTCTTGTCAATACAATTTTGCAGTCTTCTGTTCATAGATAGCACCAATCCCCTCATGTTATAGTTAACAAGCTCTTCACATGCCTGCTCAATTGCTTCCCATAATTCAATTCTATTCCGTGGTCTAAGGTTTCTTTCATTTAGTTTCTTTGTTAACTCTGCCCACACATTTTCGACGGGGTTAAAGTCTGCACTACGGGAAGGCCACGGAAGAACATTAACATCAGTTTTTTCTAGCCATTCTCGAACAATTCTACTCGTATGCACCGAGCAATTGTCATGTTGGAAGATAAAGTCGTTGTTGGGGAATCTCTGGATCACCGATGGCAACATTGTGTGCTCAATAATATGTTTGTAATATAATCCTGTTAACTTCTCCTCTACATGATAACAAACGCCCGGGCCTTTGGCACTTATCCATCCCCATACGTTGACAGAGAATCCTCCACTATTTCTTAAATGATGCGTATACTGTTCATCATACCTATGATTTCTCGGCCTATAAACTCTTATTCGACCATTATTATACGACTGAAATACTTTTTCATCGGAAAATACAACCCTAGACCAAAAATTCTCATCGCGGTTTATAAATTCATTACAAAATTCAACTCGTCTCCTCTTGTGATCCTCAGTCAAAAAAGGTTTCCGTGCAGCTACACAATTTAGCAGTCCACTTGCTTTAATTCTTCGACGTGCAGTGCGAATACTGCCTGGAAACGCTGCCTCTTCTCTTGCCTTTTGAGATGTGGCAAAAGGAGATTCTCTCAAATAATCTACTAACATCTCATCCTGTTGATCTGTGGAAATCTTCTGCCCTCCTGAACCGCCCAACCGTGCTATAGAGTGAAAATTATCCCATCTTTGTTTAATCTTTCATATGCACATATGACTCACGTTTAAATCAGCAGCAACTTGCCTTAGTGACCAACCTTCTTCGAGTTTGGCAATTGCTCTTGCTTTTTGCGCATAATTCAAATGTATTCTAACCATTTTGGAAGAGTTTAATATACTTTTATTTTATTGTTGAACACTCGCGAAAGCATTGACGTTTTGAAATTTTTTGACTTTGATATTTATCAAATCCGTACGACACTGCAATTTTACAGTATTACAATATAAAAAGTAAGGTGTAAACTATTCCGTGACCGCAACTGTACATGTTTTGAGCCAGTCAAAATATTTGAGTAAAAACCCGTTAAATGTTGTTAGTTTAAATTTATGTTACATTACTACACTATTATATTATGTTCTTATAAGTTGAGATGTTAAAGTTACCAGTGTAATTGGTAACATGGCAGCGTACGACTCTACATGAGGTTGCTTGGTGTTGAGACAAAGTGTCTTCGAGGATTTGTTGATGGCAACTTTAGTTTGTTTAGAGTTTTTATTATAACTGTTTATCTCAATAAAAATCATCATGGAATAAAATTAGATCCTTGCATTACGAATTATTTTATAAGGTGCGTCTTAACATATAAACTTTCCTTAGAGGCAAAATAATTTAACTAATTAAGCCACGTTCAAATGTGCAATTACATCCATATAATTATACTAAAACCTCTTTTTGATGTTATTTTTTAGTGCTTACATACTATACGTATAAAATTTGACCTTCCTAAGATAAGGCCAATTTTAAAGCACTAAAACCTAGCACCAGTGTTTCTATGTATAATTATAGAAAATTATAGCTAAAATGATGTAAGAGTAGCAATATATTAAGAAATTATAATTTTTGCAGTCATTTTCATTAAAAAGTAATACTAGAATAAATTAAAACATTAAGAAATTTAATTTTATTCAAACATTTTTAAATTATTAATCAGATTTTAAATATATAGCCTTTTCTTTTTGGTAGTGATAAATTTGGTTCTTTCACATGTTCTTCTACGTTGTAACCATCTCCCAGTCCTTTCAATATCTGGTTGACACTTTTTTTGTTCTATTTCTTAAAAACAAAAAATAACCTTTCTTATTTGCTCGCTTTATTGTTTGATTTCCGTGATTTCTTAAATTCAGTTTTAAATTTTTACAATAAGCGGTATGAACATCTCAAGAACACCAGATCTTAGTACTATTCATCAGCATTTAGATAAGAACAGGTATTGCAGTGTTTTTAATAATTACTTACGAACATTTCAATTACGTTTCTATTTTTTTCAGTTTTTCGAAATTTTTACAATTTTCTCAAGGACTTACGTCATTCAAACACATCCAGATTGTGAAATAGTGTCTGTGGCATTCTTGCAGAATGTAGCAGTCTAGTTGATTTGGCGTGGTTGATTTGTAAACGTCATTACATTTGGTGCAATATTTTCAAAAATGAACAATTTTAACAACTTCATCATACATATGGGTGTTCATACACTATTTAGTGGTGTAGAGTTGTGTTATAGAGGTAGCACCTTTTATCGGAACGACCACATCGAGCGTCATAGACGGGAGATGGTTCTTGATAACTGGTCCTCATAAGACAGCTAACTTTCACTTATGGCTCCACGTGCCACACCCCGGGCAACTGCATTGGTCTGCAGGCTAAACTAAGTGAGGGTAGCCAGATATGGCGAAAATTTTACCGAGCGATTGCCGGTATAAGCGATCTCCCACTTGCTGACCAACGGCTTCGGGCGGATAAGTTGGTAAGTGATAGTGATCAAACTAGCACGCAGCGACTGACCCCCCAGAGTGGGCGGCTGCAAATAGCATCTGTGTCCAGAAGATCGGCTAAAATACAAACCAGAGAAGGCAACGGGAAACCACTCTGGTATATATTTCCCAAGAAAACTACAATGAAAGCACAAACAGAAATGGCCCCTAGTCCTCGGCAGATCTTAGATGATCAAGGGGTGCGAAGAATCCCCGGGAGGAATAACCTAAATATTTTAAATACAAACTTTAAGATTGCAACATGGAACGTTAGAAGTCTGTTCGTAACAGGAAAACTAGCAACATGCCACGAAATGAAACATTTAGGGTTGCAGATATTGGATTTGAGTGAAGTTAGATGGCCAGGTTTAGGTAAAGTTAAAACCATAAACAAAACTTTCTATTACGCGGGTAATAATGATCCGGTTCATCGTAACGGGGTTGGAGTAATTTTAGAAGACAAATATAACAATGCCGTCACAAACTTTGTGCCATTTTTGGACCGATGTCTTCTTATTCAACTATCCGGAAAGCCAGTAACTATTAACATCATTTAAACTTATGCCCCTACAGCTGATAAACCCATAGAAGAGCTAGAAGCGTGGTATGCTGATGTAGAAAAACTTATGAAAATGACCAAAAAAACGAGACGTAACATTTATCTTAGGTAACTTTAATGCTAAGTTAGGTAGATGAGAAGTTTCTGAATTGATCAGATACTTCGGACTTGAAACAAGGAACGACAGGGGAGAGAGAATGACCGAATTCTGCCAACAACACAAGACGGTAGCGACAAAAACATGGTTTAAATTACACCCTCGCAGATTGTACACTTGGACTTAACCACAACGCAATGAAAACAGAGTAATCCGTAACCAAATAGATTACATATTGGTCAACAAAAGATATCACAATGCAATCATAAGTCCAAAAACCAAAAGTTCGCGCAAGATGGAAACTAATAAAGAAACAAAAACCTCAACACCAACTATTAGACATCCAATTATTGAAAAACGACACCATTCATTAGACAGTAAATAAAGAATTAAACAAAAATTTAGGAAATATCGACCACAATAGAATTAGCGAGTACGATGACATAACCGTTCTGTGGAAAACTATTAAAGAACAAATGAACAATGTAACGGAAAAACATCTAAAAGTAACACCTAAAAAATAACAAACAGGAATGGATGACAGAAGAGATTTTATAATTAATGAACAAACGAAGAGAATCTAAAGGAAAAAATGACAAGGACGGAGAATAGAAAAGACTAAATAGAATAATTCGAAAAAAAAAATAACCGAAGCAAAAGAGAAATGGCTGGAAACAAAATGCGTTGAAATAGAAGAACTGCAACAAAGGCACTATTTTTTTAATTTACATAAAAAGGTAAAATAGTTCACATCGACTACTGAATACTGATGGCAAACTGCTAGAATCAACGGAAGATAAACTGAAAGAATGGGAAAACTATATTAAAATTCTTTTTCACAATCTCAAAACAAATAAAAGCCCAGGTCCAGACGGAATATACCCAAAAACGTTAAAATTAATCAGCGAAGAAAATAACGAAATATTTGTCCTTTTATTCAATCGCAGTTATAATACAGGTAAAATACCCCAAGATTGGCTTTAGTCAATATTCATCCCATTACCAAAAAAGCCAAACCCACAACACTGCAATGAGTTCCGTCTGATAAGCCTTATGAGTAATGCAGTAAAATTCCTACTAAAAATCGTACATAATCGTATCTATAGAAAGTGCGAAACAATCATCGGAGACGATCAGTTTGGATTCAGA